GTAGTGTAAAAAGGGACTATGTTAAGATGGAGTGAAAAACAGAATGTGCTAATATGCAAACGTAATGACTTCGATTAAAAATCGAATGTCTTCACATAGAAAAGTAATCATGGTAATTTTGGCATGGATAATATAGTGTGGCATTTTATTGAATTCCTTGGATAAATCGAGAAAATAGCATCAATAGCAGAAAGTAATAGCTTAGCAAGAATTGAGCACCAATAATAAATTATATTTGAAGCTGACTTATATCAGAACGGTATTGCCATGGGGACAGAATTACTTGGCCTGGTAGATTGATTTTAATTTCTACAATTGTTTCATCACTTTTGGCAATGTCAACATATTTCCAAACAGTCGGAAGGGCGCCCTCATCAATAGATAATCCAAATAGCCACCACCATAGATAAAGAACTCGTACGGGAGCACCTTTAAGCAGAAGACGATGAGAAATATTACTTGATCCAGACGTCTTTATGACAGAAATAGAGTTAATGGATTAAAAAAAGAACTAAACTAATACTAGACAGTATTGGGATTGTTAAGTGATGACGAATATGCGCGTGGGCCTGAAACATTTGTCCTTGCCTATTAACAATTTTAAGCGTTGAAAATGAACACGATATATGGTCATTAAAAACTTCGGCAATAATTAAAGAAGTCCCACCTTCGTCAATGAAAGATTTGGTAGCTTGCTTGAACGCCAGTTTCTGACAAACGTCCAGAAATGCGACAAGTGACTGGTAGTTTTTGTTATTGGTATCTCAAGAACCAACATTAAAATCGCCGACAGATAAAACACGATGTAACTCATGTACCATATAAGGAAATTCTGTATAGAAATTGTTCAGGCTTGCAGTAACAGCTTTAGGGACACTACTAGTATTTTCAAATTACCATAAACACAAATCGTGGTTACTATCGGTAGGTGACGAGGCTACACATTTAATTGCGATAAGATCTTCCTTAAAAGTGTACGAGTTTCTGTTCCGACGAAAACTGTCATCAGTTAATCATCATTGGCATCAAGCCATGTTTCAATTAAAGAGTAAATGTCGATATTTAATACATTACTGTGTGCAGATATTTGTTTATTACTGTTGGAGGTTGAACAGAAGATGTCTGCAATACTGGATAAAATTATATGTATTATCAGAGGTACATTATTTGGGGTTTGCAACGCACATAGTACTGTATGGTGACATCATGCCAAGATCCCATTCAAGTCTCATCTCGTAGATAGCGAGACTGATGCTACTACCTTCTGACATGACAGAGGCGGTTTGTAATAAAGCAATAAAACATGTATTACCACATTCATAGGGAAAAAATGTAATACATAGAAAATGTACAGAAAATATAGTTATCGTAATCCGTCATATCGTGAGCAGCTATTTTGACCCACCTGGACATCCCAGTATCGTAGTTACCTCGGGCATAAGCATTCGCATTTTTCTGAGTTGGAACGCTTATGCGAGGGCGAGATAGTAACGGGATTTTGGTATCATGTCACTGTAGTTGCAAACCCCAAGTAATGTACCTCTGATATTATATATATATATATTAAATATTCGAATACTTGGTGTAGTCACGTATATTATGCTGTATCAGTGACATTTGCAATGATTTTATGATATAAAGCAAACATGGCATCAACAAGGATTAGTTTAACTGTACATATTGATGGCGCGCGTGCATATTTCAATAAAAACAAAGGCAACACATTTTCTTGTCGTTAGGGGTTATGATACTTGACCACCCGGGCGTTCTCTCCAATTATGTTTTGCGATATAGTTAAGAATTATAAATCCATTGATATTAATTATAGCTAGTGTAGCTAGCAAAGCAAAGTAGCAGATCCGGAATATAGTCAAAAGTCTTCGGCAGATTTGTTTTGTGTAAAATTTTCAGTAATTTGAGATATAGCATAATACCTCCACCATAGCAACTAAAAATATGGCCGTCATTCATTAAAATCTAACCACAAAAAGAAGTTGGTGATGTTCAAAACGTTAAGTCAACATTGTTATATTTCCTGAGGGTGAGTTTTATTTCACAATAGATAAATTCTGGATATTTCCATTTATGGTTATGATTATGTCTACTATAAAGTTCTCTTAACGAACAGAATTCCGTGAAAAGATTGATTTTGCAACTGAAATACTTGTAAAATACTTTATTTTAGCTAGAATTAATTTTAGCTGAAAAGACATTTCGCTGTTTTGTATGGAATTTATTTTCACTCATTTTTGACGAGTTGAATGTAAAATATAGGAAAAGAGGTATATTCGCTGGAATTTTGCACTGAATCATTCCTTCAGCGAAAATAGCGAAAATTAATTCCAAGCGAAAATAAAGTATTTGTTTATGTGACAACTTACGTCCGTTGGGGGCGGTGTATCTGTGTGGCTATTGACGTATTAGAAATTACAATGGCAGATAATCACACCCATATAAACCATTCGCTATTGTGATTCCCTACTCTGGAGTGACCTCGGAAGATTTGACAGAACGCCGAATCTGTATTTATTAATGATTCGACGCATTATCGGATACAACTCGCGAGAAAAGGATTCATACATACAGGTAAGTCGTTCATTTAGTTGTTGTTTGTTTGATTGTTCCTCAGGACACCTCGGTTATCTATTTTCTTTACCAATGAAAATTGTAAAATAGATATGTGTTATAGATCGTCTAAACCACGCCAGCATTCCCCCGTACGTGACGTAATATACATAATGTAAGTGTCAATTTCAGTGATTTAATTAGCTGAAAATAAATCCCTGCCGACCCAAAACCTGATGCCACGATATACCCGTACTGAATTTGATGTATTTAGGCCAACTTTTAAACTGTTCGTTGAAAATTACACTCTGAACTTGGCCAGGTGAAAGTACCACCTTCACAGACGACTCGCACCCCACCCAACTACTTCCATTATAACCACGGAGAATTGACTGATGACCGGTGACAACATTTCTTTTCGTTACTATAAATATCTTAGATTTTCTTTTCGGTTGGCGTTCACCAAACTTGTTTTTTTTGTGTGTGTTTTTTTTTAATCATTGGCACAGAGTGCGTATATATTTGTCCCTACTTTTATTATGTCGCCATGTTTAAGTTATGCAAGATACCATTTTGAAAAGCATTGAAATGTATTACAAAAAAAAAAACACGAACGCTCAGCTCGTTTGTCGAGTAAGCCTTTATTTGGTCGGATTTTGGGGAGGTCCGGGTTTTATTTTGCTGTTTTTGGTAATTGTTTCGTCATTGAAGACGTTTATGATGGTTTTAGGCGATTGGCATTACGCAAATAGTTGTGTGCACATGGTTTGTCAATAAAGTCCCATCAAAACCACAGAGCATAGTTATAGTTAGTTTATACGAGGTCAGTTAAGTTATGCCGCTTGTTCAAAAATGGTCTCTATAGTTGGTCCAGTTTCTAACACGGTCGTATATAAAACTGTGTGAAAACCTCCACATTGCTTTCCGACATAGACACGCCATGTTGCGGTTCAAAACGTTTCGACGAATAAACTAAAATGCTAAATGTTACTACCTCCATTAAGGTATCAAGGTCATGTGACCCCCACACATGTGTTTACGAATTATTCACCTTGATCTTATTACACGGTAGTTAACCATAAAATGACGTCACATTGAATTGAAACGTTTCTTTAAAACCCGACTTTAAAACATTATAGGCGGCAAAGTAAATAGACTAGCACGGCAACGAGTCTTTGTATGAAGGGTGTAGTCAGACCGAAGCCATACAACAAAACGACCTCTAAGAGGTTTTGGCTTTTCAGAACTTGGGCGTGTATGTCATGCGTCAGTGGAGAGATGTGGTTTGTCGACTATTGAACTTCAATTTGCTGACATGTAAACTATTATTTTACAATTGAGTCGTATTTTTTCTTCTTTTAGTTTATATTTGTGCATCCAATGCACAGACCATCGCCGCTGTTTACACTCAGCCAATGGCAGTCAAATTCACATCGTCTTTAATCCATTAAATAAATTGCTTCGTCAAATTGATTGTTTTACTCACGACAGTTGTCAGTATTTTTGTGAATCAAAGTTACCATGTCAGCAAATCTTTTTTATCATTAGTGAATATCGTGACCCGAATGTAAATAACACCATAATGTGAGCTGGAATGGACCGTTTTTACGTCCAACATGAATGAATGAAGCGTTGTGACCCAACAATACGACCCCGTCGCACCTTACTTCTATTTTAAAGACTTCTTTCATCGACTTTGTATTCCATTCTTGTCCATATTTATTTTGTCCCGTCGCACCGATAAAAATAGGAACTCACATTCAACGACAGAATACTGAATGTTTCAGGGTTACCTCAGTATGCAAAGAGCGTTCTGTTGAAACGGCTTATATGCTAAACTGAATGTCATTTATTGTGGCGCGGTATTGTGAATGACATATTTACTGTTAAACTCAAAGGCTCTAATTTACATGCATGCACAAACACAATGGCGCATGGAGTCCAGTCGTTTAAGCATAGCAAGTTCAGATTTAAAGTAGTATGCGGTGACAGAACGGGCTATACACGTATAAATATTGCGTTTCAGTTTATCTTAGAATGTTGCAGCATTCACGAAACTGCAACTCATCATGATTGCGCTCTGGTCGCAATAGTTACAAGATTAGTGGTTGTGATTTTGAATACCAAGAGGCTTTAAGTTGCAGCAGCACTACACCCCCCCCCCCGGTTACACGGTAAACACACAACAAATACATTTCATTCATTTTTACCACACGCAGATAAAAGTTCATGTAAATGATTTTATTAGTGGTTCTGCCTAACATTAATTCGCATATGAAAACAAAAGTACATTTCGATTCTAGCGACAACCCACAACTCTACTGCATATCCATGCACTAATGACGCCTTGACGTGGGAAGCATCTTTTTACCATAATAGGCTATGATTTTACAACTGTATGTACATTGGGCGTTAAAATTTCCAATGTCGCAAACCTTGACCTGTTTGCGGCACGTTGTAGTTTATGCATCATTATCATTATGCATGTTTTTTGTTGTGTTTTTTGCCACAGAATGGCGTGGATGAAGACGAAACTGGTTATGGGAGTGATATGTGTCCTTCATTTACTACAAGTGAGGGCGCTAGATGCAGGTAAGGGAAATCACGTGACTATAAGCTGTTAGAGTTGTTCGCAACCCTGAAACAGGAAAAAATGATCACAGTAAATCATTCAAAAATTGTACGTCAATGATTCACATATATACAAGTCATTTATATTTACGGAGAAAGAAGGATGTGTTTTCAAGAATGCATATGCAAAATAATAAAAAATATATTCGAGGATTTCTTAGGATGATTTTCAATGATAGCGAAAAAGCCTCAAGATATATATAAAATAAAGCAAAAAAAAAAAAAAAAAAAGCAATTGTTTTTAGTACTATTCAACTCCTGTCATCTTTAAAAAACAAACCTGCATACTTTTAATATAAAATATTTTGATCAAGACGAAAATCGGAATTTGGTTTAAAGTTAACAAAGAAATTATAGAGAAACAATGTTCAAAATGTGGCAGCAAATTAATGGCGAGAAAATTTGAAAATTGGAAGTGCTGAATATTAGCTGAACATGTAACAATTGTACATCAGTTCGGTAGATTCAAGCACCCTAACAATTAGCAGCCAGTCACTGTCAATGATACAGTATTAGTAACTTTTAAACAACTGATCATTTGGTTCCACACACTTCGTGTGAGTGTGTGTTGAACCTTAGCACATTTGCAGACCCCTATTCGTCATTATGAACCAAAAAATCAACACACTTGTTTGTATAATCGTGGTCATACGTTATTATGACCTAGCAACAATGAACGCCCCAGTGAGGAGGAGTTGCTTATGTGCAATCAGAATTATGCGATTATCATGCTAATTTTTAGAATATTATTCCATTCATATGTGTTAAATCGGCGGTGATATCGTTGGTTTTGCCTTGTTGTACGTCCCAAAGTAGTGCAATAGCTGGTGCTCAGGTAGAGCGACGTGGCCCTGGAACATGTATGCGCGTATCATCTACACTGAAACACGCAGACACATCGTAAATAAATATTTACAGTTGGCGTGTGTTTCATGTTTGTTTGCATTAATGTATATTTGCATAATATGCTTTTATTTTCATGTTACACACTTTTCAACAACATAAAATGATGCAAACATTATAATTACGTTAGGTAGATTCAGGGAGTAATACTCTTGATAGTGTACACCAATGACGTCACGCATTATGCAATAATACGGCAATTGTACGTTATAATATCCAGTTATATGGTACTTTGACAGATCTCGAGATGACCCACGTGATTGTCAATTCAGTGGATGACATCATACCGTTAGACACGCCAAGTGGACTTTTTCCTGTTGTCAACTTCAAGAATTCGGGACCGACGTCTATCAACGAAGCCAGTGGTGAGAACCTGAACTTCGAACTCAAAGCTTATCTATCAAGTGTGAATGGAAGGCCAGATGCTAGTAGTTACATATTGGGCGATATCGGAAACCTGTCGCAGTCTGTGGACAGTTTACGTCGCGGAATCAGTGTAGATCATACCATCGGGATTACACTATTCGATGTCGATATAGAAATACCATCCTCAGTATGTGATTGGGTCAAATATTTCTGTGTTGAAGTGCAACTACTTGACACCACAGGTTTAGTTGATCGTAATCCCAATAACAATTATGCTTGCAAGCTGTTTGATTTACCAATATCCATGGATGACAGAATTGGAAAGTTTCTTTGTTACATAGGTAAGTAGAGATTCGCTTACTATAAACATAGTCGGAAGAATAAATTGTCCAAGCCATTACAAAATTTGCGATTATGTAATGAGATGTTAGAGCGCCCTCAGTAGTAAGTATATTGCGGTATCATTGAGATATTCTATTATTTAACTCATACTACTGAAAATACTCTGAATTAGAATCGTGTGGGGCAATTGTTATCAACATATCTCTGGAATGTTGAGCAGTGAATCTACTTGTTGAACAGTCTGTATTCTACCCTACACCCTATGTGTACAACATGTTAGTCTTAACAACCGCATGCCTCATAATGCATATTATTATACCTCATTTCAATTGATTGGCTTAATAGGATGGCAATATGAATAAGAATACTTCACTTTAAATTTCCACATAAACTGGCCCATTGCCGAAGTATTCTACTGTTGCTATAGCGATACTAGAGTGTTCTGATGTGCATATTTTGGAACTTTAGTGGTAAATTGCAAGTTTGAAAGCTGCTGTATTTAGATTTGTTTGTTGATGATTCATAACATTACATCGCATCAATTGTACCTCCTCGTATTCATGCATTGGTTGAAACAAGATTCGTCTTGATTGCCGTTAATACAATATATCAACACTTCACTAACATTGAGCTGACATGTAATATGAGTCCCTCCGATCACACTGGACCCACGGCCCGACATATTCATTGTAATTCACCATAACTGTGTCAATGTATAGCTTACAATTGCATAGACCTTTGTTAACAACATTACCTTTCTTTGAGACTCTATTTGTATGTTGACTTTTTGGGCCAAACTGCGAAATAACTCACAGCTGATCCGACCAACACAATTGATGCTATATAATTATAATACACGTTTAAACTGTTATTTCGGTATGCATCTCTTTTTAATATATTGATGAAGGTCTGTGTGGGTGTTTTAAATGTTCATGTTGAAGTTTGGAACTTCATGTTCATGTTTGAAAGGTTCGTGGGGAGGATATAAAGGGTTCATGTGGATGTTCGGAAATCCATGTGGGTGTTTAAAAGGTACGAGTGGATGTTCGGGAGTCTTATGTGAGTGTTCACGAGGTTCATGTGGGTGTTTGGAATGGTCAATGGGGTTAATAATTTTAAGACCAGATATTTGTTATTGTAATATATATATATATATATATATTTATTGTTTAGTTTAAACGTGCAAAATCAATGATTATATATTTTAATCAAGATTTTCGAATTTGTCAAAAAATTATGTGCAAATTACTTATTTTTCAGGGAAATTAAAATAGTTGTTCATTTCTTTTACTTTTTGTATATTTGGTCAGTGTAATCAAATCCTTTAATCGCCATAATTATCAAGTATGAGTTATATACACATTAATGCATTATGTTGTTTACTTTCAGATATTGCATCTACAGCTGCTAAGGTGACTGATCCAGCTGATTTGGAATATCTGGCCGGCACTTCGTATGACGTCACCTTCGAAACAAGTATCACCAATTATGGAGGAATCCCTTTGGGCTCTCCACCTAGTGGACAACACAATTTGAAACCAATTGTGTTTCTTACTGACAGCGATCAACTGGAGGACGCTACTTTCTCTATAGAACAACCTGCCATAATCACAACCTATGACGATACAGTGGATCCAAATGAGAATATTACTCTGGGAGTTTTTACTGCAAGTATAACAATTCCCCTAGATGAAGCTGACTGCCTGAAGATTACTCATGTATGTGTAGAAATCGTCGGAGACAGAGACTACGGCGAGGAATACCCTGATAACAACGATTATTGTTTGATGTTTGGTCCAGTTGACGAAGGCAAAGCAGGCAAAAAGTATGGCTGTCCCGCGGACGGGGTCGGTAAGTCGGATTTTAATTTTCTGTGTAATATATCTTATTAGATTTGTCACAGGTAGTCTCAGTGAGGTTTACATATGCCGAGGAATTTTTATATAAATCCAGTTGTCAAACAAATGGCACGTTCTAGTCTAAGTGATATATGTTATTCAATAGCCGTCAATATTTTTCAGATCTTCAGATTGAATCTTTTGAAGTGGTTGATTATGCGACTGTGATTTACAACATTGGACGCGACACTGATATAGAAATCAATGCAATAATCAAAAACGTTGGCGATACAGCGATCGAAGATTCAACACCTACAGGACCAATCAACTATGAATTTGATGTTTATTTCATCAACCACAGATCTGACTTTGATTCAAGCACTGATACATTGACCTTCACCGCTGATTACACTAGTGCTACGAACATGAAAGTTGGTTTATCATATGGAAATGTTTTAAGCATAAGCCAAATAGCGACAACTACGAACCTACCAGCCGACACGGCTAGGTGTACCGCCTATCAAAGTGTTTGTTTAAGAGTAAGAGAAGGATCAAATGCACCATATGATGAAGATGTTACAGATAACAACATATTGTGTAACGAATTTGATACAGTCGTAGGGCACAAGGATTGTCCTGATCTGGATATTGGTGAGTGAGAATTTGAGTTCATTTTATGAGGATGGATGTCTATTCGTACACTATACTTTAATATGTCCTTGTAGAACAGGTACCCCCCCCCCCCGAACAATGTTTGTTGAATTTGTTAAGTCGAAATGATATTCATATCTCTCCTCTTAATGGACATTTGCTCATCTCCCCTAAAGCAGATAATTGATGTTGCAAATGGTTCCATCTGTTTCGGTGTTACATTCCACTTTACAGGATTGTAATTAGGTAAATGTCACAACCTGTCCATCATTCACTTTTTAACACATGTGCATCTATTCTGTGTATTGTGCTTTAAAATTATGTAGTCCAATAAATATGGCTAGAAAATTTTATCGATAAATTCAATTCACCAAAGTTAACAACAACCCCCCCCCCCCAAACAAAATCTCATAAAATAGATCTCTTCCAACACGAAAATGCACTTGATGTAATTCGCTTGATAAAGTGCTTCTTTGGCTACACTTGCATGTCACAGTCCTGATAGAACGAACCATGATAGGTGTCTTCTGTGATCATCATTACGTTACAGTACTCGAAACACTGCAGCAAAAGAAGACTAAACATTGCATCTGTATTTTGTTCTTCAGATATTGAACCAGTGAACATGACAGTGACTCCAGTGACAGACCCTTATCCATTAGATACTCCAGTAGACACAACTATTGAAATTGGGATTACTAACATCGGACCTGGTAATCTACCTGATGTTGCTGACCCGGAAGTGAATTACGTAGTGAAAGTGTTCCTCTCAGACAGTGATGAGCTCGAGAATGCGAACCTTAAAATAGAACAGACATCTATCACCACTGACGATAATCAGTTAAGACAAGGACTTGTTAAAGATGGAATAATTGACATCTCGCTTAATCCAGCAGTCATCACTTTACCTGAAAATGATTGTTATGATTTGCTTTACATCTGTGTGGAAATATCTTTGCATCCTGACAGTATTTATATAGAAACGAACCCAGATACTAATGATTTCTGTGTTCAATTTGGGCCCCAGAATGACGGCAAAGCTGGAGAAACAGAATGTTTCATTGGTAAGATGTAACTATATTCTAGCTACATGGTTTATATTGGTGATATATTCTCGGGGCGGACATCCGGGCATTTTCATCTCCTGGCAACCCGCGGCGGTGAAAACAAAGGCCAAAAACTCGCAGAAAACGATACTTTGGGATGATTGTTGAGACTATTCTGAACAGTGTAACACGATTAGCCCTACGTGTGTAACATATATAAATTTGGTTGTTCGGGATTACTTCAAAGTTGAGTTTGTGTTGTTTTCTCGAATTTTCACCGACTCGACCGTCGTTCCACAGCAGCGCGCACAGAGCCCATAGAAATGCATGTACAGTGGTGCGCGTCGTAGCAACGTGGAACGTCTTGTGACGTAGCTCCGCCCCCGAGGATAGAGTGCGAATTTCATTGGTTTCATTAGTTAACCTTTTCGCCAACAGTTCCCTCTTCTCATCACAAATTCACAAAACAGTTCTGTTTATAGTCTGCACATTCCTTCAGCTGATTGGGACAAAAATAACCATTTTCTTTACTAAAAACAAGAAATTATCTCAAATTTTGTCTGATGGCTCCAAAATTAGGGTTCATTATTGAAGAATATAAGAACAAAATGCAGAAACATGTGGGTGAGAAAGTCTGAAGGTGAAAATTAAGGTTAATTGCTTTATTAAATATGTGTATAGCCATGTGTTTCATGAATTTAAAAACTTATTGAACACTTGTTCTTATTGTAGATATCGCTGCTACCAGCGTTGAAGTTACATCCCCACAAGACCTAACCTATAAACCAGGGATCGCTACTGCCATACAGATTCAACTATCTGTAGACAATAATGGAGGCGTCACGTTAGATGAAATGACAGAGATGGCGGAATACAATTTTGTTCCTCTCATATTACTCACAGACAATGATGACCTGGCAAGAGTTGGATCACCCATAGAAGCAGTCGTAATCAGTGGTGGATTCACACAAGAAGTTACAGGGAAGACATCAAATCTGACTCTATCTCCAAAAATTGATGTGGAGGTCATTATTCCAACAGAGAGGGATCAGTGTGAAAAGATCCGATATCTTTGCCTGGAGATATTTCACAGTGTCGATGTGTATGTAGACACAGATGCATCAAATGACTTCAAATGTATAGAGTTTGGAGCAATCAGTGAAGGAAAAGCTGGAATTATTGAATGTAACATCACTATTGGTAAATATTCCAATCCTAATTTGTCCACATAATCATATATAATAATAATATAATTGTCAAAACGTTAGTATGACCACGAAATGTGTGTGTAAGGTACACACTACAGGAAATCATGATGTATACAATGACAGTGAAAATATAAATACATATCCTTAGTATACAATTAAACGTTGCCTTCGATAAATTTGATTTAAACTGGTATGCGTGTTTGTCACTCAATCAAACACACGGTAAACTGAGGTCCAATAATTCAATAATATTAATATTTGTAAAATTTAAAACAATATGCTGGTAGTGTTTATATATGTCACACAAACACAACTAATGCAACGTATCATGTAATATATTAACAGACTTGTCAGCTAACAATCTAGTAGTGGCTCCAGAGGTACCGAAGTACGACTTTGATGTAGACACAGATGTTGAACTATCCGTGGATTTAACCAACAACGGTGCTGGTGACATTCCTCAAGCGATAGGTGAAAGGCCAAACTTCAATGTCAGAGCATATATAACTGATAGCGCAAATCTCGAAGCCGCTTCACTGATGATTGAACAGGACCTTAACTATGATCAAGAAACTCTTTCCGGTGCAATTGATAACGGGGATCTTCTTACGCTGCTGACTGACCAAGCCATACTGAACATTCCGCTTGATAGGTGTTTGGAAATTTCTCATATATGTGTGATTGTGACTCTGGCAGACGATGGTAATTCGGTATTCTGGGATCCTGACCTCACTAATAACGATGCTTGCTTAGGATTCGGGCTAATTACAGAAGGATATGCTGGTGTTATCCCATGCTTCATAGGTAGGACATTTTATATATGTGCACGTAGAAACTGTATACATCTCCAAAATGAAAGCATTTTTGTTTTGTCTGTGGTATTAGTGTTCCAATATGTATTTGATGTCATCTATATTTCTGGCTTCTGACGGATCTTTTTTTTTTAATTTTTCCAAAATACATGACAAGGAAAACTTCCTTATCATACAGGCAGAGCTGTCTCAGAGAGTGAGGTTATTTACTGTCAGTTTTTTGTTTTGTTTTTTTTTGGGGGGGGGTATATTTCTGACTTCTATGCCATGAACTGAAACACGTCTTGACTAAATTTATAGCGGAGATATTATCATGATTATATTGTACCAGCAATCTAAGGATGTGTTTCGTTCGTCTGAATAAAAAAGTGGGGGGGGGGCAACAATATTAGCCTTTTTGAAACTTAACTATGTAGCAGTCGCTCACCTTTTAGCCTTTTAGAACTCAATATTACCATTGCTAGCTAGATGACCACTCTGCAATACATGTACATACTTTACAATGTAGAATCACGTGAGATCTCGTAACGATCATATAACTATTTGTCTACTCCAGATCTTGCTGCCATAAATCTAAAAGTCATCTCGCCACGGAATCTGCGCTATCTCGTTGGCGTACCAACTGAAGTCGAAGTCCAGCTTACCGTGCATAACTACGGCGCGCTCACTTTGCCTCATGCACCGGAAGAAGCTCCCAATAAGCTGTATAATTTCAAACCGGAAATGTTCATAACAAACGGAAACAATCTGGACACCGCATCCATGGTTGACCCACAAGATGACGTTGAGAAAACGTTCAAGCATGAAGTAGCATCTGGCGTGACCGTGATTTTGGTATCATTTATGATAACTGTAAAGATACCTGAAGAAACGGAAGACTGCAGAGACGTTTCACATCTCTGTATTCGCATCAATGACAATAATTTCGTGTATGTAGATGGCTATGCACCCAACGATAACACGTGCACTGCCTTCGGTGATGTGAGAGATGGGAAGGCAGGACTGTACACGTGCCTCGGAGGTAGGTTATTAGGCTCTCAGAGAAAGGGACACACAATGGAATCGGAGAACAGAAGCAATAATAATTGCAGAATACTCCTAGCTTAAAGCGGGGGAGTCGTCACCCTGCGCATGCGTCAGATGGCCATACATGTCACAGATTACTAAAAAGCGTCCACCCATGAAGCCTTTG